TAGAAACCAGTTAGAGAAGTCATTTGCCCAGGTTTATAAATTAAGGAGAGTTAGAGTGGGAACCCAGGTACTTTAGTTTCAGAATCCATGGTCTTAACCACTACTACTTCTGCCTTCTGGGAATCTGAGGATTAAAGAGCAGACTAAGATTTTTGTTTAGTTATTCTTTAGTTTTTAATTATAACTATAACTGATAAATGAATTTTGAAATCCAGAGATTGTTGGCAAACTTAACAGGAACGATTTCAGTGGAGTTTGGTAGTTTTCCAATTTGTTGGAATAGCTTTCAACGTAATGTGACGAAACATGCTTAGAAAATCTTCTAAGGCCCTTAGAAAGATAATTTCTGTAATACAATCTTTATTTAGTGGTCTTTCTCCAATTCTGCAGAAAAATTATCTTTGAGAATCAGTTCAAAGACACTTGACTTTTCAGTTAGGGGGAAATAGAAATGTCTGTTTTACGGGAATTAAACTTTCAACAATTGAAGTTTTATGGAATCCAGAGGTTATTATTTAGAGCCAAGGAGATTATTTACCAAAAAATATTTCTCTTAGGAAGTCTTTGTGGGGGGGAGAGTTTCAGAGAGGAGAAATAATTTTTGGTGTTCTATTACACAGCATAGTGATAATAGTTAACATATATTTCAAAATTGCTATAGGAGAGAATTTTAACCACAAAGAAATGATAAATATTTGAGGTGATGGATGTGTTTGATTATTCCACAGTGAGTGCATGTAAGAAAACATCACTTTGTACCTCAAAATATTCAATCATTATTTGTCAATAAAAGATAAAACTTAATGCAAATAAAAAACAATTCCTTGGAAGAAATTAATGAATAATTTATTCTCTCATAATGATTTTCATTATAAGGCACTATTGTGAGTTTACTAGTTCTCATTTTTTAGAATAATGGAATCAAGCTACATGCTTCTATAATTTCTCAAAGGGGAATCTGAGAATTAATGATCAGGCTAAGCTTTTTGTTTTAATAATAATTGTAAGTACTGAAACACATTTTGCCATCAAGTATTGCCCCCAGTGTGCTTAGCATTGTTCAGGTAATGTGTGCAGGAGTTAGTCCCTCCATTAAATAATTTAGAGAAATAAGTAAAGTGAAGACCGAAAGACAGCAGCAGAAGTGTTTTACAATTTGAAGGAAATAATTTACAGGGAAAAAAGGTTAAATGGCTTGACATTATATGATTAATGTAAACCTTTTTCATTGGGGAAATGTAGCTCAGTGCTGTCAATTAATAGCCTCCTGTATATGGTAAAGTCATGATCTTCTGAAACCCGAGGATAAGGAGCTAGTCTGGACAGTTAAATGTGTTTCTAGAAATTGAAGTCATTGTATTTTAAGTTTTTAGTTGCAGAAAGGTTTATATGCTTTTAAACTAGAGGAAAAAGCAAAATTGAATATAACTTGAATTATTGTCAGAATCACCATATGCCATCATCCAGACTCTTCTTTACTACTTTTTGAGTCTTTTTTCATTCATTTTTAACAGTAGTTAAATTTGTAGTTAGTTTCTTACCATGACCCATGTTCCTAGTCATAAGAGGACACACCTTACTTATAAAGATTTTTGTTTTATGATAATGGAAATAAGTTCTATGTGTTTCCAAAACTGGGGTGAAATATTAGTATATCATTTAATTTAAAGGTATTTTATTGCTCAACTTATTACACATTTATGTTTTCAATTCTTTCATTCTTCAAGGAATTACCTATTGTAGGTAAAGCAATGGTGTTTTGTTTGTTTTTGTTTTTTGTGCAGTTTTTTGTTGTTATTGTTTTATTTTGTATTCTTTCTGAATATCAATTAATGTAGTATGCCACTAGTTAATATATTATTACAAAGACTGTTTGCCACATTCTGGGTCATCTTTATCTGTTACTCTTTGAGTCTATTTTTCTCCTTAGTTCTTTCTTTCTTTTTTCTTTCTTTGTTGTTAATTCTTATGTTGACTTAAATGCTGCTATTTATGAATAATTATTTCTTACCCACAGTTTTGTTTTTACCTCAAATGAGAGAAATTGGATGATTATCAAAATAACTAATTTGCAAAAGAAGCAGGGAAAGAGTATTTTAAGAGGTATCTCATAGGCTAGGTGTGGGATCCACCAGTTCATAAAGTGTGAACAGCTAGGGTATTGATGATTTTACGTCTGCTGGAGTTTCATTAAAATCACATTTAGCTGCTTGGGCTGGGGATATGGCTCAAGCGGTAGCGCACTCGCCTGCCATGCGTGCAGCCCGGGTTCGATCCTCAGCACCACATACAAACAAAGATGTTGTGTCTGCCAATAACTAAAAAATAAATATTAAATCTCTCTCTCTCTCTCTCTCTCTCTCTCTCTCTCTCTCTCTCTCTCTCTCTCCCCCCCTCTCTTTAAAAAAAAAAAAATCACATTTAGCTGCAACAGTCATAAGGTCTGGCCTCCATCTCATATAGGTGTTAAGACATCTTGACAGACTAACTGCAGGATATAAGAAACTGTAATAAACAAAAATTTTCAGAACTTTAAGAAGCAACTGCCCCTCCCCAACTACATCTCCTTGCAACTTTGGGACTTGTATATAAAACAATTTCATTTTCTCTGCCTCAGTTACTAGTCTGCTGAGAAGGGTTTAAGTACTAGCTCTTGGAAACTATGTAGTCAGAGTAGCTATAAAAGGCCTTTTTAAGCCTGTCACTTGCTTTAGTATGGTTTTTTTCCATTTAGATAAAGGCTTTGTGGGTTTAGGATATTCAGTTACCAGATGGGGAAAAAAGGCACCAAAATGAAAGTCTTTTCTTTTATTTTAAACAACTTTCATTATTGAGAGTCTTTTATTAGTAATAAGTAAGTTATTTATCTTTTAAAATTATGAATGGCTGGTTCATTCGGTATTGCTCAGGCTTCTGGAACAACCTGAAGCTAACTATTATGGACAATTTGTTGCTTTTACATTTCAGTCAGGGTTCATAGGCTACCTTAAGTGGTGTAATTATCGACTTATATACAAAGTGGCTCTAAAAAGAATTTTTTCCTTAATATGCACTCTATAAATAAGTCAATGTGAAAATAAGTTATAACTGAATTATCTATATTTAGCCTCAGTGGCTGCTCAAAAGTATTACATCTAAGGAATTATCAAAAAGAAATTCTAATTTAATTTCCAGAAATAATTATGATTATTTGATATGCTTGAATAGCTGATTAGTAATGTAAACTCAAACATTTTATTCACATTTTTTAATTAAAACAATTTTTAGTAGGGTGGAAAAATACCAGCTTATCTTAGACACATTATAAACTTCTCTAAATAACTCTTTCAAAGATCTGACGTGGAACTTGGATCCTGTTAGGCAGGCTTTTTTGTGGGCGTATTAATTCACATTCCACCTGTCAGTGCACATATAGGTAAAGACATTAAACCACACCCTCTGTTCTGACCTTTTCCTCAGGGGACACTGACTAGAATCCTCTGGCTCAGCCTGCAAGGCTATTTGAGCAGCTCCATTTGGAAGAGCTTTTCCTTTTGAATAGGGCGAAGCTGCAAGACCGAGGGAAATAATGTTGCAACTACGATTCTCAAGACTGCTACTATGGAGATTTAAAACCTGACCTTCCCTGCCAGGTTCTGCTTGGAAGGCTTACTTAATACCACAGACAAATTTGATACCGAAAGCAGTTTTATTGCTCAGCATATTACACATTTATGTTTTCATTCTTTTATTCTTCAAGGATTTACCTATTCTAGGTAAAACAGTGGTGTTTTGTTTGCGTGCTTTTGGTTTTTTGTGCAGTTTTTTGTTGTGTTATTTTGGATTCTTCGGATAAAGACTGATAGACATTTAGGAGTCTTTCTGTTTTGTTTTTGTTTTTTAGATTTGTAGGGTTCCCCCCCACCCAGACATTTTCACCCTTTTTATTGTTCAGTAGTATGAATTAATTTTTTTATGTATTTGATAGCACTAAACAGAATGGAATATCTTGATAAACTAAAAGGAACTTTTTAATGTAGTAGAAAACTGATAATTGAAGAAGCTTGGCTCCTTCATCTTCTAGAATGGATTCTTACAGGACCTATTTGGCAACTGTCAAACTTGATGGCTCTTGGTTGGAAGAACAAGATGAAGATATTTATGAGGTTGAATCTCGAGTGCCTTTACCGTATCCTTTTCCTTTGTGTGAACATTTGGATGAAAATAACTCAGTAATTATTAATACTTCTATTTTCCACTTGATTCATAAAAGAAATGGGCACATATTAAAGCTAATTTCTAAAATTTCACTGCCTACCCCTCCTTATTCAGTAAGTATAAAATATTAATTTAGTTTAACAAATAAGTATAATGAGAAATGAAATTTTAAGTATTGTTAATAAGGTTAACGGAATAGAACCTTATTTTGTTATTGTTTGGTATATACTGCTGCCCATTCATCCTAAATGTATCAGAGGGCTCAATTTGATCTAAAAGTCCCAACTTGGCTGTGTTCTTAATTCCAGAAAGCAGAATGAGATAATATTACACTTCTCCAGTGCCCGGTGAATTGTTTAAAAAATATTCTGCTTGTCTTTAAGATTCTTGTTTTTGTATGTTTATGAATCCAATCCTGAATAAAAATGGGAATAAAAATGGAATGATTATATTTGAGAGAATAGGTATTGTGATATCTAGACCAGCTAAATAAATTGTTTACATCCATGACATACTGACAGTAGTTCCAGGCAAGGTAAAAACAAACTTGGATTCTAGATTTTCTTACACCATAAGGAACTTATTTTCAGTTTTCTAAATGTCAACTAATTCTGTAGAGAAATATATTTTTTTCTGTTTTTTATGTGAAACTTATAAACATTGCTAAAGTGTTTAGCATAAAGATACCTGCATATTCAGTATTCCAGGTTTATTTGATTCTCAAATATGTTGTGAATGATTGACTACAAGTTATTCAGCACTTTTTATGACTTTGGTGGCTTTAACTGTACATGCTAGCTAATATTTAACAAACCAGATGGTTTTTAGAATAGTGTTGTTACCCCTTCTACAACTTTTGTTTTAAGTGTCATAATCTTTACTAAAGCTTATCCATACTTTAAGTATAATGGTGAGTTTACTAAATACTTTGAAAATATTGAGTTTAAAATTTTTATATAATGCATACTATTATAGATATTAGGAATAAATCATACCTTAACTGGATAGAAGGTATTATGTAAAGTATGTAAATGAGAATTTTAAGGGGGACTCTTATCCCAAATGAAGTGGATCCCAACTGCTATTGTAAATAAAATATATTACCCTTACTTATTTGATTGCTTGAGGTTTTTGCTTTGTTTCTAAAACTGAAGGTTTTTTTCATGATTTCTGGTAAATATATAAATGTATGTGAAGGTGGTTTAGATCTTGTCATGAAATGGAGCATAGAGGCAAAGACTTATTAAATTTATCTAAAGCAAATATTTATTTTATTGTAAATACTCTATTGAATTTCTGTAGTAAATTTGGAAAATAGTTCATCTTTTTTTAGTTATAACTTTGAACTCTATATTTCATATATTTTCTAGGTCATTAGTATATAATAAAAAATTATGTACATATTGAAGCAATTGATGTATTTTAAAAAATGTATTGACTAAATTCAGGAGAGTAGTTGTGTACAACATTTATACTTCATGGTCATTTTCTTTATAGTAAAAATTAAAATATAGTATTTATCCACATTTAAAGGAAAATACTCTTGGTAGTTAAAAATGAACATGTTCATAAAATTTTTCCTTTTTAAAGTAACAATATATTTTCACAGATATTTTAGGAAATTATTTACAAATTAAAATTTGTTTAATTTTCCATTATGAGTCTTATATCTATGCTCATTTTTAAATAATAGGTTATAAATAAAATTTAAACATTCTTTTAAAACAACAATTATTGGGGTTGGGGTTGTAGCTCAGTGGTAGAGTGATTCCCTGACATGTGTGAGGCACTAGGTTCAATCCTCAGCACCACATAAAAATAAATAAGTAAAACAAAGGTATTGTGTCCACCTACAACTAAAAAAAAAAAAAAAATACATTAAATTAAAAAAACAATAATTGCATACTGAATATTTTGGAAATTGATTTGGTTTGTCAATAACACTCAGGTGTGAGGAGCAGAAGTCTTTAAGAATAAGATTTTAAATATTATCTTAATTTTATAATACATTATTAATGTCTAATTAGAAACCTTAGAAACCACTACATTTTATCATTTTAAGCTTAAAACATGGCAGTAATGTCTTTCTGATACACAAACTTATGTAAATTTACAAAATTTATTTAAAAGACTTGCTGTAAGCCTGTTGTCAATACATACAATTATTTCTTAAAATTCTGGAGCTAAGTACTAGAAACATTTGAGCTCAGTTTTGTTTTCTGTGGAGTTTTTTTTTTTTCTGCATGTAGTTGTTTCAGTAAAAAAGATAAGTAGATGGTGACATATAAAAGCTCAGATAACTAAAGCAAAGTTAGTGCTTTTTTGTAATTTCACACAAATGATTAAGTGATCGCGATTCAACTACTTCCTGATCGAGAGCTTTGGCCTCAAGTGTGTATTACCATCTTAAAAACTATTTTAAAAATGGAGTCAGTATATGCCAATGATAGCATTCTAAGAAGGCTGTATTTTTAATGCCTCGGAATTCTAAAGTGTTCAAAACAAATGTGGAGTCTACTGTTGACTTATCCTACCCACAAATGTTAACATGCATTAGATCTGTCTTAAGTGACTGTAAGTCAGTAATATGTCTTTTATTTGAAATCCTTACTTTAATGGAAAATGACACTGGTTTTCCTAACACTTCATCTTCCTTCATGTATTCTTTCCCTTCTTGTTTAGCTTGAACATGCAAAAGTTACACAAACAGAATTGATGCGTGAGTCATTCAAACAGAAACAACAGGCAACAGAGTCCCTTAAATGCCAAGAAGAACTGCGAGAGCGCCTTCATGAAGAGTCTAGGGCCAGAGAACAGCTGGCAGTGGAGCTCAGTAAGGCTGAGGGTAAGTACCTTGCCTTTGGCAAGTCAGAGTAGCAGAACTTCAGTCTTAAAATAGAGATTTTGATGTACAGCCAAATTCAGAAACAAATCTACTCTAATTTAGAGCAGCCATTGGAAGTAGTTGTGGTTTGTCTTCAGAGTTTTTCCAAGCAGTTTTTAAAACTGCATATACACATTTAAATATAAAAGGAACTTATAGAATTACTGAAAATATAAAGGAATTTTAGAAAATAGAGAAATGGATGGTGGAGAGTTGTTACCATGATCCCACCATCCTAAGACATGCCTGTAATTTAAAAAATGAGAAAACCGAAGATAAAGATGTTATTGAATTGTTTAAGGTAACCATTAAATGGTGACCATAGGCTTTAAGCCTCTAAAGCCTTGGGCTTTGCCTCTTCTTCCCCCATGCTGTGGTATTGACCTTGCCCTTCTAGAATTAAAATACCAACTTGAGAGAAAATGTTTTGTTAGAGCTTCATAGTCATACATAGTAGCTGAGTTCATCTCAACAAACTCATACATGCATGGAAATCAATTTCAGTTCATGATCCCCTTCTTTTCCCTCCCGTCTTCTTTCCCCTCTCCCATTCTCTTTCCTCTACTCTATTAGAATTGTGATTCGATTTATAATATCTGATTTACATTAAGCTGTCTAGGAACTTGTCTATTTTTATCTTTTTAATAAAGTGAATTATGCATATACAATGTGATGATACTTCAGTATAGCAAAGTATTTGAAAGTTTAGAGAAATTTCATATTAATGTCAGGTTGGTAAACAAGAAGATTGCATTAGGCCAGGCACAGTGGCACATGCCTGTAATCCCAGTGACATGCCCAGGGACACTGAGGCAGGAAGATTATTAATTCAATGCCAGCCTCAGCAATTTAGCAATGCCCTAAGCAACTTAGTGAGACTTGTTTCTAAATAAAATAGAACTGGGGATGTAACTCAGTGGTAAAGCACCCCTGGGTTCAATTCCTGGTACTCAAAAAAGAAGAAGATGACTAAATCAAATGTACATATTAAAAGTTAAAGGCTGGGGTTGTGGTTCAGTGGTAGAACATTTGATAGCACACATGAAGCACTGGCTTCAGTCCCCAGCACCACATAAAATATACTAAATAAAGGTATTGTGTCCATCTTCAACTAAAAAAAAAAAAAAAAAAGTCAATAAGTTGCTGCTATTAATAGCAAATTCATTCAAGACTCTTAATAGGTTGGAATGATTTAAAGTTTTGCTAACAGCTCTTTTGTTGTTCATATTAAAACATATTAATGTTCAAATTTAAATGAGTTGTAATTCCATTTCCTGTTCATTTTATCTTACAGGTATCATTGATGGCTACGCAGATGAAAAAACTGTTTTTGAAAGGCAAATTCAGGAAAAAACTGATATAATAGATCGCCTTGAGCAGGAGTTGTTACATGCAGGTAATAGGTTGCAAGAATTGGAAGCAGAACAACAAGAAATCCAAGCAGAAAAAGAATTATTGTCAAGACAGAAGGAGGCAATGAAAGCAGAAGCAAGTCCAGTTGTACAACGTACGTATTTTCAGACTTTGGAACACTTTTCTTTTCATTTATATTCTTTAAACATTAAGAGTGATTTTTCCCCCTTTTTTTCAATGCCATTATTCATATACCATATAGGAACTTGAAAAATAATAGCAGAATGGGCTGAGGTTGTGACTCAGTGATAGCGCGCTTGCCTAGCATGTGGGAGGCACTGGGATCCATCCTCAACACTGTATATAAGTAAAATGAAGATCCACTGACAACTAAAAAAGTGTATTCAAAAAAATTATAACCAAACATACCTTATAGGTAATTGTCTTATTAGACAACCAAGTAGAACCAGGGTTTTCTTTTCTTTCTTTTTAAATCTCTGACAGATGTTGACTGTTGACAGGAAAAGACAATTCTTTACTTATCCCCAAAAATCTGCCTCAAGAGAAGGTTACAAATAATGGGGCAGAATATTTTATAAATTGTGTAAGCTTTAGGCTTTTTAATAGAAAAGAGAAAGCAAAAAAATGTATTGTCGGATTAAATAACTAAGAACTTGTTTTAGTAATAAGCAGGTCTGGGGCTTGCAAGCCAAATAGATGGAAAAGATCAATGGCGCTAGTTTAGTAGGAGTTCAAAGAGAAGTTAAATTTACAAATAACCTTAATTTTTCCTTAGATAAGAAATTAAATAATATCTTGACATTAAAGTTTGTTTAGCAGTAAATGTCAATCTTTATAATAGTAAAAATTTAAATTCAATTTATTGTGTCCTCACTTTTATAGTAAACATAAGTTGGAATTATAAACTCTTTTTCTAATTTCATTTGATCAATTAAGAAATACAACATACATTTTTTTGTAAAATGATGAAATTAGTCTAACATGGGTTTAGGGTTGTAATTTTTAAATGTGGAAAAACTTTGTGTCATACATGTAAAATATTCAAGAAATATTGGAACTTCTCAAAATCTCCAGTGATGATGATCAGTGGCTTCAGCGTCTGCTTCTAATATATATGTGGGCACATGCATTATCTTATTTTAGCCAATAGAATATGTATAATATTTTTGTTGTGTCTTGTCTTGTTTTCTATTTTCATAGGACTAGTAGATGCTGCAGTCGATGCAGCACCTGAAGCAGGTGTGTGCGTACAATTGCATGGACTATTTTTGAGTGGTAGATTTAGATGCAAATTTTGAGTAACCCTTGGATTTTCAACCAACTAACATGTCTCTAATTTTGCAGTTTTGCTGCTGTGATTCACTCTTAAAGTTGTTCTCTTTTAACAACAAAACAACTTGTCTTACTATGAAAGTTCACATTTTCACTTGAAATTAACAACTGAGATTGATAATGACCATCATCTTATTATCTGTTTTGCATGAAACTTAAAACAATTTCAATTTTTCAAAGAAAATTTTTTTTAAACAAATATATTAAATCTTGTAGTCTATGACTTTCCAGAATCCTCTTCTAAGTCAGGAAGTTTATAAGATGATGGTAGTAAAAAGATCAATGGAATTTAGTAAGAGGCTTTCTGATTGATTTACTTTATGTTAACATCTAGTATCAGTGTTGTTTTCAAAGGAAAATTTTTTTCTGTTGATTCCTTGTCCTGAGTATAGTGTTGGCACATCAGTTAGTATAAAGATTCTAGAGATAAGTTCTTTCTATTTTCTTTATTAGAGGATTGGTTTACTTTTTCTTTTATACTTTATTATTATATTAATAATGATATTAACTAACACAATAGTGCTTACTGTACTACAGTTACTGTTTTACATATTTTAACTCATTTGATTCCAAATTTGCTGTAAGAGATTGGCAATGATATAGTTCCCATTTTACATATAAGGAAACCAAGGATCATCATATTGAATATCATGTAAAACAAAAGAGGCAAGCTAGGATTTGAAGACATAGTCTGTTTTTAGTGCTAACCACACTGCCTCTCACATGTCAGTTTTCCCTTGATGCACATACATGTGAGCATGCAAAAACAACTCAGTAATATGGATCTAATAAGGAGTAAAAATAACAGGAAATTCTGGGTATAGTCATATTTCTTCTTCTACAACTCTTCCTTGCTTGTTTAAAGATTTACAGTGATTTTTTGTGTATATTATGTATGCATATGAAAGTGATTTATGGGTTTGGAATGAATTAATTTTTGTGTGAGGTAAATAAAATGTTCTTTTTCTATGCTTAAATTTCATTCAGTTTTGTTCTATTCTTAATAGTGAAAAGTGGCTTTTTTTGTCATTTGCTATGTTTTTACAAAAATGGTGTTTTTGTGATGGGACTTTCTTTTTGTTAATTCTGCATAATTTTAATAATACTAGTTTATGTATGTGGAGCAGTAAGATATTTTGTTATTTCCATAAGAGAATATTTACTTTTTAATATGGATTTAAAATATTTCTCAGCCTTTATTTCATGAAGGTAAAATTTACTGGAAGCACTATTAATTATAATTAACTCTGAATGCTTTTGCATTTATAAACAGAATTACTACATGAGACAGAAAAATTAATGAAGGAAAAGCTAGAATTGCAATGTCAAGCTGAGAAAGTACATGATGAACTTCAAAAACAAATGAAAGCTTTGGAAATAGATGTTGAAGAACAAGTCAGTTGGTTTATAGAGATGGAACAAGAAAAAAATGCTGAAGTAATGGATTTAAGACAGCAAAACCAAGCACTGGAAAAGCAATTAGAAAAAATGAGAAAATTTTTAGATGTAAGTATTTGCAATTTGATATTGATTTTTCTCAGTAGAATACTATGTGATACTGTTCTATATTATTTTAATTTTAAATTATAGGGACTCTTAATATTTTTGCTTATGTGTGTATTCCACCAATGGAGAGAGTATTCCAATAATTTATTATGTAACAATCAAAATGAAAATAGTAAAACTAGGGCAGGGAATGTAGCTCAGTGGTAGAGCACTGCTTAGCATGAATGAAATGAGGCCGGCCCTGGGTTGAATCACCAGCACCAAAAAAAAAAAAAACCTAAACAACAACAAAACTTGTGCCACTAGCTTGTGAATAAGCCCTACTAGTTAACGTTCCAAAATTCATAGTTAATCTTCTACTAGTCTCTCATTTAACCAGTAGCCAAAGCAAGTAAGAATTCCAAGAGCTAATTGTCTACCATTGTGTCCACCTCAAAAGGTGTGAACACAGGTAACAACAGTGTGGCACTTGCACTAGAATAGTTGCCAAGCTTCCATTGCTCTCTTCCAAAAAGATGTTAAATCTTTAATTTCACATGGATAGTCTTCTTTAAGATTTCTTATAAGCCAGATTTTCTCTTCACATATCAGAGAATTAGAGTCTTATACTATTTATAATTTTAGGTATAAAACTTAAGATTAAAGAAATTGATTTACCAGACAGTTTGTTTATTTGCTTAATGACTGAGTTAGCAGTGTAATTTCTCCATTGTACAAGTACATTCATTGATGGAGGAGAATTATTTCATTCTGAGTTTAACATTACCTAAATGAAAACAAATGTACTTCAAATAAATTTTAAGTATTTAAATTTTGTGGAAGAACCCAAATAAGTAATGTGTCATACCAAAAATATTTTTGAATCTTTGTGATTCCATGGTCATCAGTCCTTTCTTTTCAAACAAACTTAACAACCTATAACTAAAGAGAGATAATAGGTTTAATAAATATTGTTTCTTCAATTACTATTGTTTTTATTATTGTTCAATTTCAGGAGCAAGCCATTGACAGAGAACATGAGAGAGATGTGTTCCAACAAGAAATACAGAAGTTAGAACAACAACTTAAGGTTGTGCCTCGAATCCAGCCTGTTGGTGAACATCAAACTAGAGAGGTAAGAACTTTATTGGTATTTCCTATTTGTATCTTGAGTGTGAAGTAAGAGTTACATTATGAAAAACTTAAAAGTGAATAAGGTATAAATCTTAAAAATCAGGACATTGAATGTTACTTAAATGTGAGGAGGTCATAAACCCTAAAAAATGTTTGTATTGGACTAGGGGTTATAGTTCATGGTAGAACACTTGCCTAGCGTACCTGAAGCCCTGGATTTGATGCCAGCACCATCAAAAACAAAACATAAAAATGTTGTACAGAAATTTGGAATTATTTCCATCTTTATATATTTTCTAGTATTAAATAAACTTCTCTGCCTAATTCTCTACTCCCATGCCAACAAAACTGATAATTCTCTGTAGTCACTCTTTACTAATTATTTCCCTTTCTCTTCTCTTTTACAGTCCACTACAATGAAGTTTCCAACATCTTTTTCTTGGAATTTTATACCCCTTAGTATATTTAAACTGTTCCTATGAAGGTTACCCAAAGCCTCTTGGCTGTATCTAGTAATCACCTCTCTGTCTTTAATACTACTCATCCATTTGGAGACACTCATTACAGTCTTCTATAAGTATCTCCTTCTCTTGACTGCTGTGACACACCTACTGTAGAGTGTGGTCTCTCTCCTCCAGTATTTATTTGTCTTCTGCCTACCCAAAATAAATGAGGGGTGCCTCATGACTTAGTCTTAGAGTCCTTGTTCTTCCGTTTTTACATTTTCTTCCCAGTCATCTGTAAATTGCCCCACAGTTGTTCCTTTATTCCTAACATCACTGTTGAACTCTGTACTTGAATTTTCAACTGCCTACTCTGTCTCCACGTAGATGTCTCATTTTTAACATATCCAGGAATCATATTCTTGGTTCCTGATTAGCCTTTATCAAAAAGACAAGAATAAAATTATTCCTTCTTCATCTCAATAAATGTTGTGCCTTCTAAATCATCTTCTTTGCTAAGTTCTAGAATTCTTCCTCAGTCCCACTCCTTCTCAGCCCTGATCCCAAACCACTAATGGATCAGATTTATACTACATCTTTTTATTCTTTTCACCTTTATTCATTTCCCTGTGTCTTAGTTGTCATATTATTTGCCTATATGTGTGAGGTAGCTTCCTGACCAGTCTCCCTGCTTCTACCCTGTCACTCCCACTGTCCATTTTCCTCATTCAGAAAACTCTACATTTATTAAACAAATGCTACATGGGAAATATTATATATATTTATACGTATATCACTTATATATATTTCTAAAGATGGCTTGTCCTGGTTATAAAGAGATTGTGCTTGAGATAAGCAATCCCAGTGTGGATCATGGCTGTGCTATGTAGTAGATGTGTGACAGTAACTAAGCTACTTAACCTTTCAAATCTATTTATTCATTTCGAAAATAAAGACAGTAATAGCTCCCACTGCATAGCAGTATTAGTGTGGCCCTTAGTTAACACTTAAATTCAACTACTATTATTTCTGAAAATAATTTTATTGCTGAAAATTATCTACAATTTCTAAGAAGTTTACTTGATTCATTTCTCTTAAAAGTACCTCAAAGAAGTATAAAATGCCTATAAGTTCATTGTAATGAAATGTTAAATCTGCTAGAGTAGCAGAGAAGTCATCATTCCCCTTGTTTGTAGTCATTGCCCTTATTTCTAACAAATGTATTTTTAGCTTTTGAAAAACAGTGACTTATTCATTGAAACTCAAAAGATAATTCAAAATCTAGAACTTTGACTGCCATTTTCTACTATATAATTTTTTTAAAAATATTTGAAAGTTGACCCATCTAGTTCATGAAACTTTAAGGTATGTTTGAGTTTCCTCAGGAACATTGTGACCCATTTGTTCTCTGCTTACCCTGCCAGAACTAATCCCAACTTCTGATTTTCTGAAGACCCAAAAATTCCAACTGTGAATACATATTATAATATGCCATTTCATTGTACCTGTTTTATAGCCTTTTCTCATGAACGTAATCCAAAACTTAGTCAACCTATTATTCTCAGTAGCTTTATTACTGTTAAAATTTAATCCTGTAATTATAATTAAGCTTGCATTTTTTTAATGTTCTGAATAATGATTGTCATTTTGTATAATTGCCTCCAAGTATTTCACTGAATAAAGGTAGTATTCCTTTATTTCTTACCATCACTTATCTTTTTAGGAACCTCCTCTCCCTCTTGATCAGAACTAATTTCATAAATTATCTTATTAATCCTTCCTGTATTCTTCTATCACAGAGCCATTGAATTGAAGGCACTTGCATATCAGTCTTCAGGGATAAGTTGTGAGATGTGTCATTATTTATTTTGGATGCAGGAGAAACTATTAAGACACTAAATGTACAGCTCTCTCTTTCCACCCATTCTCATCTCTATTCTGGGATGGTGCAATGTATAGGTTGAAAGTGCTTTGTAAATAACTATTATCAAAAGGTAATTCATGAAAGATTTTTTTTCAGGTTATCTTACTTCACATTCTGAGAGCAAGTCAGTAAGTACTCTACAAATTTGCCATCTTTAAGGTCATAGGTCTTAGTATGATTGTACCATTACTAGATAATTCAACATTATTCAAAATGTGGTTTTCCCCTCTTCCTAGCTAAAGTGTTAGTCTTAAGAGAATGAAATTTTTCTAAAAAGGGTTGAGCAAAAGCAATATTTGTTGTTTACTAGTGCTGCCTAGTTCTTATCAACTTGGGAAATATCAACCTTTGTTTGAGATAATAGTTGCTATTCTTATAAAAAATGAAATTAATATAGCATTTCAAAATGTTTTTTTGGAAAAAAATGATTTTTGAGATGAATTAAAAGTTATGAACTTTTCAAATTTTTAGATTTTTTTGTTTAATATATTTTCAGGTTGAACAGTTAACAAATGATCTAAAAGAAAAAACAGACAAGTGCAGTGAGCTGCTTCTATCAAAAGAACAGCTTCAGAGAGATGTACAAGAGAGGAATGAAGAAATTGAAAGGCTAGAGTTCAGAGTGAGAGAACTGGAACAAGCCTTACTTGTTAGCACAGACAATTTTCAAAAGGTGTGACATTTTGAGTTAACTTTATTAAGTGTTTTAATGAAGAAAAGTTTGATACACAAACATCAGAGCTTGAATAAGAAAGCTTGAGGGTGGGGGCAGATGGGAAAGAGCCTTCATTTTTATCTGAGAAATGCATTTTAAGTGTCAAAAGTTCCTGTTTGACTCTATGAATGTATTCAAGACTGAATATCTGTAACTTTTTGATATTCACTAATGTAGAGTTTGTCCTCCTAACTGGTCAGAGAGAATTGCTACTTATCCAAAAGGAAACATACACACACACACACACACACACACACACTCTCTGAATAAACAGTATTTAATGTCTGAAAATTTGAGAACATTCTTATATATTTAAAGGTAGAGGACCAGAAACAATTTGGAGCCTTACAAGCTAAAGCAGAATTTTCTCTAGAAGTGCAACTGCAAGCTGAGCGAGATGCTATCGACAGAAAAGAGAAAGAGGTAAGGACTTTTTTTTTCCTTTCGTGTGTGTGTGTGTGTGTGTGTGTGTGTGTGTGTATTAGATGTAGATGGGCAAATATCTTTGTTTTATTTACTTACATGGTTCTGAGGATTGAACCCAGTGCCTCACACATACTAGGCAAGCACTCTACCACTTTATTTTTAAATGACAAAATATGTTTTGAGTTATGTTAAAATCAGTTACCTTGAAAATGTCATTTGAACAAAATGAAATTTGTGGTCTAAAACCAAAGTATAGACTTTCTCAATTCAGTGCCTAAATTGATCTTCAAGACAATAAACATGTGAACTGATAAGCTTATGAAGGAAGTTTATTCCAGGTTGAGAGGATAACTAGTGTGAGCACTTTGAAGCAAGAAGAAATTTAGAGAGGGAGAAAGGACAATTTAGCAGGTATGGGCTGAGTGAAGAGGACAGTGGAGAAATGTAGTAGTTAGGACAAAAGGCAGCATCTCTTTTCTCCTGTTCGTGCTATGGGCGTTGAGTTTTTGCTCCTCTCTACTGTGAATTTGGGTTTGCTTGCTTTCCTTTTTCTTTTTAAACTTTTCCCTGAGAATTGATAGTGTTGTTTTACAACATATGAAGCTTGTGCTTAAAAGATTAATAATGAACTAGGAATGGGAATTTAGCTCAATGTGGGTTTGAATCTGCAGCACCACAAAATAATAATAACAAGAAAGTAACTATAAAGTTATCCTGTGTTGCCCTTCTCCCTCCTTCTTAAAGAGAAGGATCCAATTAGGCATGGTGGTGCATGCCTGTAGTCCCTGCTTCTCAGGACGCTGAGGCAGGAGAATGAATCACTTGAGCCAAGGCGGTTAAGGTCAGCCTAGGCAACATAATAATACCCCTGTGAGAACAAGAAAAGAAAATTTACCTTTAGAGCTATAGTAATTTTAACTTTCTTTGTCTACTAATAGTTTTCCTAAAACATATAATACTCAACATCGTATAGTAGTAAATAATTTTAAATGTTTAAGATGTTTTTAATTATGTTTTGTCTCTTTCCATAGAATTTTTCTCAGAACATTTAAATTTATTTTAACAAATACTTATTTTGCTTAAATATCGTAGAAGTATTTGTTAATAAGTACTTGGAAATCTGTTTACAAAACTAATTTAGATATCAGCTAAAATGACAGTTCAGCGAATGTGTAGTTCAAAGAAGAAAAAAGGAATCCATAGAAATTACTATAGTTGAAATGATCCATGAGAAGGATCGTTTTCCCATTTTTATGTAACATCTGAGAAGTTCTTGTTTATTAGGTTTGGAGTTTTCATTGAAGCAGTGAGCACATTTATTTTTGTGTAACTATTTCTATATATTTGAAAGGAATTAATACTTAATGATTTATTTTAAATACTGAATAATCTCCTCCCCCAAAAAATGAACCTTCACAACTCTATCTAAAAGTAGTGGTAGTTGATTAAGAATACTTGGTGTAGCTTACTAGTTGTTTCTCTTCATTTGTGTGTGT